GTAAAGATTTACAGTCTCAGAAACCCTGTACAGGGTCACTATGGGTCACTTACCAACAAAAACAACAAAGAACTGAAACTTAATTTGGCACAGTTCTGGAGGTTAAAAGCTCCAATCAAGATTCCAACACTAGATGGCAGTATAAATTCCGCACACACACCCCCCCATGCTTGACCCCTCACACGAGGTTCATATTTTGATCTCTAGCCAGAACCATTTCTGTTTTATGTTCACCACGCTATACAGAAGGCACGCTTCCTTGACCATGCTGGTAAGTAGAGTTTTTCCAACCTCTGGTTGACCGACTTGAAGCCTCCTTGCTGGTACCACATGCTTTTGGACCCGTGCTCCACAAGAGAACCTCTTAGACACAGGAGACTGAGCTGAAACATGGGGGGTGGGGAGGGACATGATGAGCGCAGAACCACAAGGCTTCCCAGTCCACAGAGAAAAGCGATCACCATGGGCGAGCTGACCCACAGAGCAGGAAAGCTCAGCACCTTCAGGCTGGAGTCTTGCCAGCAGAACGAGGAGCCTCCAAGCACTTACTGGTGGAGCTAAAGAGCTTTGTCACACTTGCTCAAGCAGGGCAGAGACTGGGCAGAAGGGCCGAGAGGCTTGAGGCCCAGAGAGAGGCAGGGCCAAGAAACTGTCAAAGAACTATATTCTGAGTCGTTCCTAATCCTTGATTGTAACCTGTTACTTCCCTAGTAAATCCCATAATCTGAATTCTGTGTGGCCATTGCAACAAATTATGGAATCTGGCAGAGAAGTAGAGAGTGCTATGGGAGGAAAGAACTGATAGAAAGATTGGAGGGAGGAGGCATGTCTGACCTCCACCTCATTGCAGGCGGCCGTGGACTGTTAACCTGAATTCTTCTTCCTCTTTGTAAAGTTAAAGAAGGGTCAGACATCCATGCTGCACCAATGACATTTTTTATGAGCCCTCCATATTCAGTCTTTGCTAAACCACATATAAAGGAAAGAAAAATTTCATGAATGGAAAAGCAAATAGCATAGTTGTTGCTGTTAAGTGCCGTTGACTTGGTTCCGACTCATAGCGACCCTGTATAGGGTTTCCAAGGAGCGGCTGGTGAGCTTGAACTGCTAACCTTGTAGTTCAAACAGCTTTGAAGTCTGGCGCATTAACGCACAGGGCCACACCAGGATTCCAAATAGCATAGCACTGATGTGCAAATTGTAGGTGCTTAATCAATTGTGGGAGGAATGCTGGTGTGGTGCTGTGGGTTAATGCACTGGATTGCAAAGTCGGATTGAACCGCAAGGTGTGTGATTCAAGCTCCCCAGCTGTTCCTCGGAAACTCTATGCAGGGTCACTGTGGGTTGGAACCAACTCGATGACACTTAACAACGACAACAACAGTAAATTGTGGCTGTTAATATTTGTATTGCCTTGAGCTTAGAGTGTCATTTCATCTATGGTTTCTCATCTGAGCACTGTTGATATTTGAACCTGTTGCCATGGAATTGGCGACCCCATGTGTGTCAGAGGAGAACTGTGTTCAGTGACTGGCTTGTTTTAGGAAGTCTCTAGGTGGGCTTGAACCTCCAACTCTCTGGTTAGCAACTGAGCGTGTTATTGTTATTTGTTGTTTTTAGTTCTGTGAAGTTGATTCTGGCTCATAGTGTCCTGTATGTGCAGAGTAGAACTGCTCTGTAGGGTTTGTGTGGTTGTGACGTTTCGGAAACAGATGGCGAGGCTGATCTGGGGCACCTCGGAATGGGTTTGAACTGTCAACCTTTCTGTTAGTAGTCCAGCACTTAACCGTTGTGCCACCCAGGAACGCCTTTCCAGTCCTTGTAATTTGGGGTTCTTGGAGGTCCAGGAAGCCCGCAACACAGGTGACTCTGAGATGTGTGGTTTTAAGGAGTGTGACTGCCCACAATCCTCTGTTCTTGTAACATCAGTTCTTGACTGCCATTGGGTCGGTCTGCTCCTGGAGTCCATATGCATGGTAGAGCTGCTCCACAGGGTTTTCAAGGCCCTTCGGAAGTAGATCTGTCTCTGAGTGGGTTTGAACCACCAATCTTTTGACTAGTAGTTGAGCACTTAACTGTTTGCACTATTTACAACTGGATGATTCTTTGTTGTGGGGCTCCTCTGTGCTTAGTAGGATGTTTAGCAGCATCCCTGACCTCTACACTAGATAGCAAGGCCACCCCCTTCTAGTTGTGACAATTAAACATATCTCCAGATGTTGCCAAATGTCCGGAGGAGTCCCTGGTTGAGAACCACCGCTTTAATCCTTCCCAACAACACTCTAAAGGAGATGCGATGTTTATGGAGCAGGAAAGATGCCTGAGGCTTCCACCGAAGGGCCTCAGCATGCCCAGCTCTACTGTGGTCCTGTTGTTGATGTTAAGTGCCTTCGAGTCAGTTCTGACCCATAGCCACCCTGTGTGTGGTTTCCAAGGAGTGGCTGGTGAGCTTGAACTGCTGACCTTATGGTTCAAAGCGCCCTTACAGTCCAGTGCATTAACCCATAGAGCCACACCAGGACTCCACCGTGGTCAAGTTTGTCCTTGAGAAGATCTTAGGGCGAGAAGGGCTCTAGATGTCCAATTGTGATCACCCTACACCCTACCCTCCTCTCCCCAGGGGATCTGGTAAATTGTTTCTTGACCCTGACTTGAGATTTTCTTGGCTGTTCAGCATGCTCTTTACTTAATACTGTTATTGATGTGTTGGCAGGTGTTTTGGGTTTTTCTTTTCCCCCTAAGTCAGCTAAATCCATCTAGAAACCTGGCACCGGTCCAGGAAATACAAAGCAAGCTCTTCCGAAGGAGATGGGAGAAGGGAACAGGATAGGAAATAAAGGGGAATTTTCCAGAATTTGAATGTCTGAATTTCTGCACAAAGGAGTTGCTGGCTGGTATGAGTGATGAACGTGCTCAGCTGTTAACCACAAAGTTGGTGAGCCAAATCTACTCAGAGGTACCTCAGAAGAAAGGCCTGGCGATCTATGTAGCTATAAAAATGCCCCATTGGAAACCCTGTGGTGCAGAGACTTCTTCTTTGACACATCAGGGGCTGGGTAGGGCATGGAGCATGAGTTTAGAGACTTCTACTTTGAAACACAGGGGCGGGGTAGCAGGTGGAGCATGAGTTAGAGTTGATGCAAAGGCTACTTTGATCAATGGCTTCCTTCACAAAAGTGATTGGGATGTTGAGGTTCACTAGAGTCTGAGGGGTTGGCATTAGGGGACCACGCTGTAGGCGGTAACAGGCCTGATCTCGTTGTCAAAACTTGAGGTATTTTACACACCATTTATTTTTATGCACAATTTTGAATTTTTAAAAGATTGCATTAAAATAGTATTTCTTTTGATGGCTGATTTTTCCCCCCATACCAGCTGAGTTCTCCTCATCCTAGCCCTGGCCCTGGTCAGCCTGCCCCCAGACGTTGTGTCAGCCCAAAGCACCCACTGCCACACGTTTCCACATGCACTGTGAGGGTGTCACTGCCCTACTAGAGCCCTTGGGGCCGGTGGTCACACACTCAAGTTTCCTTCACAGGTAGGGCTGACACATTTTGCTCAGTCATCATGGGTCTGAGAATGGTCCTTTGCTAGTGGGACGTGGTGACTAGTAAGGATTGAACTAGAAATGTGGATGTTCTAACCCCTCTCCTTGTAAATATGAGCCTGTTTGGAAACAAGGGGTTTCTTTTGTTCCGTTAATGTGGTCTTAAGGAGTAGGATGGGCCCTAAGCCTCATCCCTCCGGGGAGGCCTCTTATGAAAAGGGCAGAATCGGCACACAGCAGAAGAAAGACACCAGGTGAGGGCCCCTCTACAAACAGAGGAACGCCAGAAAAAGAGAGGCACACAGCCGAGACCCTGATTTTGGACTTTCGGCTTCCAGAACTTGGAGAAAATGAATTTCTGTTCTTTAAGGCCATCCCCTTGTGGTGTTTTTGGCTCTGGCAGTTCTAGGAAACAGACTAGAGTGCATGCTGGGCCCACTGGAGTCCCCAGGCAGTTGAAAATAGGCCACTGTGGCCTGTGGAGGGCAGCGCAGCGGCCTTCCTTGGTGCGTCCGCTTGGGAGAGAAAACTGTACTGTACAACAGAGGGAGGAAAGAGGCAGAAGTGAGACAGAGATGCCAGAGAACATTCTCTCAGCTTTCTCATTTCTGTTGCCAGGCCCTGGTCAGACTTCACTGAGCTTCATGCTCCAGGGCTACTGTAGATTCCTTTGTCTTTTCAGAAATTGCCTTTAGGTGGGGCTTCTGTACATGTCCACCAAAGAATCCCTCAGAGACCTATAAACTAGGAGTTGAACTGGCCTAGTGGTTCTCAAGTGAGCTGCACATCAGAACCAGGCAGGAGGCCTTTAAACATGACCCATGCCTACCCCTCCTCCCCACCCTGGTCAACGGCATCGTCACTCATATTTATTGAACTCTTATTTGGGGCCAGATGTGCAACAAGCACTTGGCTTCCATTGTGTCACTGACTGCATTGCAATTTGTACCCAGTGAGCTAGGTACGGTTACCGCCTCCTTTTCCAAGGAAGAGAAATTGAGTCTCAGAGTGGTGTGAGATGGCTTGCCCAAGATCCCATAGCCCGGAAGTGGCAGCAGCAAGACTTGAACCCAGATCTACCTGATTCACAGTTATGTTAGAACTATGCAGTCAGGGAGTGTTGCATTGCAAGGATTAGACCCCGAGGACAGGAGAGGGGCAGAGGGAGTGGACTCGGGGCTCCAAGCAGCGGCTTCACACAAGATGAAGTCGCCAGTGGTCACCTGGGATGGCCACCAAGTTCTGCAGCTCCTGCTTCAGGTCCATGATGTCCTTGCAGAGCTGGATGTCATCCATCCTGGGGAAACAGGGACACCATGTGACACATTACATCACATCAACAGAACCCGCTACACCCTAGAACCACCCCCATTCAAAGCGTGTTTGTGGGGCGGGGTTGTCTTTTGGAAGGGATATATATGCTCTTTGGAGTCTTGGTGTGGCACTGTAGGATAAGTACTGGACTGCTAACTGCAAGGTCAGTGGTTCAAATCCACCAGCCACTCCTTAGGAATCCTATACAGGGTTGCTATGAGTCAGAACTGACTCAACGGCATGTAGTATACATTATATAGGTGGGTTTCTTTTTTCCCTTTTTAACTTTTTCATTGTGTATTGGGTGAGGATTTATGGAGCAGATCTGCTTTCTACTCGGCAATTCACACACATTTGTTTCATGCCATTGGTTGCAGCTGCCTCCCCCTCCCCCTAAAATAATAATAAAAAACAAACCTACCCATGATCTCATGATTTAGGGATGAACAATCATGTTAATAGTGATATTGTTCCTTCTACTATTCAGCTCAGAATCCTGGTATGGTATGGCGCTGTAGGATAAGCAAGGTCATTTTGAATTGCAAGGTCGGCAGTTCAAACTCACCAGCCGCTCCTCAGAAACCCTATACAGGGTCACTATGAGTCATAACCGATTGGACGACACTTAACAACAATAGTGTTCAGCTCCGCTTTTGTGTGCTTAGATGAGTAAGTTCATGGTACATGTTCTGTTTTTCAGTTTTTCCAGTTTATGAAAGTAACAAATGCGTGTTAAAAGTTAAAACATCACACAGATAGACTGATTTACAGGGCAGTCTCCATGAACCATGGCCTCCTCTACTCTGAGACCAGAAGAGCTAGGTGGTGCCTGGTTACCACGAATGGCACATATTAATCAGGGCACAATCGAGGATCATGAGAGAATGGGACAAAAAAGGGGAACAGAGCCTCAAAATCCTAAAATTAAAAACAAAACAAAAACACCACCAATAAAATTCCAGACCTACTGGTTAAAACTGGAGGGTAGCTGACGGCTACCACCTTGAGATACTCTTCAAACTGTGAACTGAAACATAATTCCTTATGTCATCTTGTAGCTAAGAAAGAAACTGGCTTCAGAAAGAATGAATGTCACCCGTGAGTACTGCGCTCCTTTTAAAAAATTATCTATAGGAGAGCAGTTAACAATTGCTTTCAATTAAAAATGAGAATGTAAGGGGGCAGGGAAACTAGATGGATGGAAATAGAACAACCAGAATGTAAGTAATGACAATGTTCACATATTGTTAAGAATGTAATCAATGTCATTAGAAAACTTGTGTAGAAATGGTTGAATGGGGACCGAAACAGCTGTGTTAACCTTCAACAAAAACACAGTAAAATCAAAGTTGAACCACTGAGTACAAAGAGCTTGGCAGGCCTAAGACTGTTGAGGCCTGTTTTCAGATTGCTTTCCCTTGGAGGGTGAAGTGGGGGGCACATGTGCCTGTATTCAGCCCAAACCAGTTGCCATTGAGTTGATTCAGACTCACGGTGATCTGGGTTTGTGTCAGAGCAGAACTGTACTCCAAAGGGCCTTCAACGGCGAAGTTTCCAGAAGTGAGGAAACTTGTACTTTGGACATGCTGTCAGGAGGGCCCAGTCCTTGGAGAAGGACCTCATGCTTGGAAAAGTGGAGGGTCGGCAAAAAAGAAGGAGACCCTCAGTGAGATGGATTGGCGCAGTGGTAGTAACAGTGGGTTCAAAGGTAACAATGGTGAGGATGATGCAGGACCGTGCAGTGCTTCGCTCTGTTGTGCATCGGGTCGCTATGAGTCGGCACTGACAGCAACCACAACAACAGTTTCCCAGAAGCAGATCACCAGGCCTTACTTCTGAGTCTCCTCTGGGTTTTTGTTATCAGTCAAGCACACGGACTATTTGCCCCACCTTGGGCTTCTATGCAGTCCTTTCAGCACATGTTTATCAGGCATCTACTGTGTCGGCCACTGTCCTAGGCTCTGGGATGCAACACATAGAGCAAAACCGAGCCCCTGGCAAAATACAGTGGATCCTGTGGTGCTGAGAAGAGAAAAGCAGGAACCTGAAGAATGGAATCAATTCACTGAATGGAGAACCTGTTGAGTTGGAGTATCTTTTGCCATGTATATTCTCAACTACTGAACCAGGACCTGTACCATGACCTCTGAGTCACATGGCACGTGCCACCTGCCTGCTTCTTCCCTTTAGCAGTGCCACTCCCAGATTCCCCATCACCATCCTTCGATGGCCAGGAATTGCCATGTTCCCCATGGCAACCTCAGCATCCTTGCTCCACGACACAGGACAGGGATTCAGCTGGCTGCTCTCCTTGGCAGAGGCATGCCATGTATTTTTTAAGTCCTGCCCCAGGATGCTCTAGCAGGTGGCAGCCGCCTCAAATGAGCTGGGATTTGCCAGAAGGGCACAGACTGTTCCTGGGGGTTTTAATTAGCAGTTGTTTGGAGAGGGAACCTCGGAATCTGGCCTTGCTTCCTACAACTAGAGTAGAGAGTGGGTTATATCAGTGACTCACAATGATTTTGCCTCCCTGGGACATCTGGCAATGCCTGGAGACATTTTTGGTTATCCCATTGTTAGGTAGGGAGAGAGTATCACTGGCAACTAGCAGGTATAGGCCAGGGATACTGCTAAACATCCTACAAAGCATACAACAGCCTCCTTTAAGAACGATTCAGTCCAAAACGACAGTGCTGCCAAGACTGCAGAATCTTGGGCGATAACCTCAGAGATGACTAAGGTGCCTTCTTGACAGTTTGCAAAGGTGAGAAAGGGAAAGATGGAGAAAGGGATAAAAGAAAGAGGGATAGTGGTCAGGGGCAAGAGTGCATCACTGAGTTCTTGTCTCTGATTCTCACTTTCCTCGTCTCTAAAACAGGAATGATCAAAGTACTTTCTACCCAAGATGTTTGTGTATGTTAAGCATTGAGCATAGTGCTTGGAGCACACAAGATAAAACTCTCATGTTGTTGTTGTTGTTGTTGTTAGGTGCCATTGAGTCAGTACTGACCTATAGCGACCTTATGCACAGCAGAACGAAACACAGTCCCATCCAGAGCCAACCTCACTACTGTTGCCACGCTTGAGTCCATCGATGCTGCCACTTAGCCAATCCATCTCATTGGGGGCCTCCCTCTTTTTCTCTGACCTTCTACCTTACCAAACATGATATCCTTCTCCAGCAATTGGTCCCTCCTGACAACATGTCCGAAGTATGAGAGACGAAGTTTGGCCATCCTGGCCTCCAAGGAGCACTCTCAATAAATGTTATCTATTCATAGGTCCTGGTGTGGTGCTGTAGGACAAGCACAGGACAGCTAACCTCAACATTGGTGGTTCAAACCCATCAGCCACTCCTTGGAAACCCTATGTTGTTGTTGTTATGTGCCGTGGAGTTGGTTCTGACACATAACAACATTGTACAGGGTTTCTGAGGCTGTAAATCTTTACGGGAACAGAAAGCCTCATCTTTCTTCCACGGAACAGCTGGTAGTTTCGAACTGCCTGCCTTGAGGTTAGCAGCCCGATTCGTAACTACTACGCTACCAGAGTTCCTTATACAGGGTCTTTATGAGTTGGAACCGACTTGACGGCACTTGGCAACTACAACAACAGCATTCATAGGCATATAAAAACTGGACAGTGAAAAAGGAAGACAAAAGAATTGATTCATCAGAACTTCGATGTTGGCAAAGAATACTGAATACACTGGAATGCTCCTTAGAAGTGAGAATGGCGAGACCAGCTCACATACTTCCTTTAGACACAGCTTAGGAAAAACCAATCGCTAACAAAGGACACTGGTTGGTAAAACTGCGAGTCAGTGTCAATGAAGGAGACACACAACGCAGTGATTGACACATTTGCTGCAATACTATGTCGGTGAAGATGGCGCAGGACTGGCAATGTTCACCATGAGTCCTAGCCAACTCGATGACAAGTAACAGTAACACGGACATTGTTATTATTCTGTTAGAGGAAGCAAGGAGGAAAAGGGAGAGAAAATGACAAGCAACTTGTAGGACAAGTATAGCTAACATGTAAGCCTTTCAAAGAGAACATTTTTTGTTGGTTTTCCTCTCTCTAGTTGTTAAGTGCCGTCAAGTCAGTTCCAACTCATAGTGTCTCTGTCTAGGGTTTCCGAGGAGCAGTTTGTGGGTTTGAACCACCAACCTTGTGGTTAGCACTGCAGTGCTTATCCTACAGTGCCACACCAGGACTCCTTCTCACTATAAAAATTTTTTAAATACCATTTTCAACTGACTGTAGAATGAACTCTTGATAGCAGCAGAGATTTGAGAAGATACAAACAATGACAAAGAAGGAGCCTAAACGTATGTGTAAACTTGAACCACATGTAAGAAACCGCAGCTTCTGTGGACACCATTCCATGCCAGTCTTTGTCCAACATGTAACCCAAGTGCAGCAGGCATGCTTTGGAGGTCTTAGCTATTGTTCTTTGTCTACCTTGAGTCCCCCAAGCAGATCCAAATCCATAAAACATTAGCAAGGTAGAGTTCTAAGGAACTTCACGTGAACAGTCAGCCTACAAAAGAAGAGCTGGTTATGGTGACTGTGAGTCAGGTGACTCCATATGTGTCAGAGGACAGCTGTGCTCCGTGGGGTTTTTAATAGCTGGGTTTTTTGAAATAGATCACCAGGACTTTCTTTCGAGGCACCTCTAGGTGGACTTGAACTGCCAACTTTTCAATTAGTAGCTGAGTGCTTAACCGTTTGTTCCACCCAGGACTCCATAACGATTCCTATTAGACAGTACTGTTCCTTTTCCTTGGGTTTCTCTTCTGTCAGCTGATCTTTTTCTCTTTCTCTACCTCTTCTACACACGTCCCAGCCAGACTGAGACTTTCAGATCACAAACAATTCAGCTCTGGTCTTTAACTTAGAAATTTCAGTTAGCAAAATGAAAACCTGGTGGTTCTCTGGACTTGCTGCCCTAAGAAGGGGCCCATCCCTCCATTCCAA